AAATGAGTTTGAAGTCAACTCATGGGTAGTTTTGAATATCTCTCTATGAAAAGGGTTTCAAGCAATGCTTCTTGATTTACTTTCTGTTAAGAGGTAAGAAATGGTCATGGAATTGGGAAGAGGATCTAGAGATTTAGTAATGCAAATACATGAAGCTCATGAAAATAAGAGGGGATTGTAATCATTGAGACGAAAACAGTGTATGATTTGTTGAATGTAAAACTGATGATCTTGTCTGTAAACCTTCATTCAATTCACAATAAAAAGTTAAAAATAAAATCATCCAGAGCTGACTTTATATTTGAACATGAAGAAATAATGTATTAGAATTTTGGTAAGGACAAGAAAGATGGGCTATGGAATATAATGAGAGTTTAAGCATAAAAACTATTTGCTATTATTTGGTAAAATGATGGAAAGCTGGTTTAAAAGAAAAAAAAGTTGGTAACAAGTGTTTTTCTGGACTATAATCATTTTAGAAGTGATTGTGAATTATTGCTTACTATTAAGTATAAATTAAATCATGATAACTTGCTGTATAATTTTATTTAATATCAGAAACCAAATGATATATTAAATGCAGATGACTGATTTTATATCTCTTAAAACATATTACTATGTTTTTAAAAGGATTTTAATGCAAAAGTTTGAGTATTTTATCACACCACATTGCTGAAGTAAAATTTCTCTTTTACTTTCAAAATTTACCTTCAATGATCTGGTAAAATTTACATGCCTTACAAATCTCAGGTACTCTTTTACTTAAAGGTGAATTTTATTTTTACATTTGATTTTTTTTTTATTTCATTGCTCAAAACTTATAAGTTCTTATTTAAAAACAGAAGTGTATTTTTAGGGACTTTATGAAAAGAAATGACATAATTATAGTCTAATTTCTATCACTCATAATCTCCACAGTAAATATCTTATATGCCAAGAGGAATACAGCTCTATGAGTCAAAAGCAAAGCAAGTATGAGAAGAAAGAGAAGACAGGAAGCTTACTCTAAAGACAGAGCTGGGACAGAAAAGGCATCATTGGCTACAAAATAAATAGCCATTCATTTCTCTCTTTTTTTTTCCCTTCTTGGGAAAGCTGAAATAAATAGAAAGTCATCATACTGTGATAAAAAGAAAACACAAAACTCTGAAGTGCATGAAATGCATATATGATGTTATAATTATAGCATAGAAAATAATGCAGGTTATAGCATACCAAAGTGGTTCTACAACATGCAACAGGTACTAAGTTTTAGGCCATCAACACATGTAACTCCCTTTTGGATAAAGGGTACCAACTCTGTTTCAATTTAGCTACATGTTGTGCTATAATATTCACACAGAAAATAGAAAGGATTAAAAAACAAAACATCAATTATGTTTCACCAAAATAGAGCATGGGTAACTTAATTTTGATAAATGCTGTCTATAAGACTGTTTATGAGCCTCCCCAAACAAAAAACCACTGCCATCAAGTTGATTCTGATGTGCAAGGACACTACACAGGATTTCCAAGACCAAATCTTTATGGGAGCAGCCAGTATCATCTTCCTACCCAGGAGTCACTGGTGGTTCTGAACTGCTGACCTTTGGTTAGCAATCCATCCTTATCCTACAGCACCACTAGGGCCCTTTCATAAGCTTCTCAAGCAGATGTAAAATCGTAAATAATCTAGATTCTTAGGAAAAATAATATCTGGAAAGAAAAGCTGAAGTTGAGCTTAATAAAGTTGATAAGCTTGAATAAAGTGCCATCCAGTTGGTTCCAACTCATAGCAACCCTGTATAGGGCTTACAAGGAGTGACTGGTGGGCTTGAACCGCCAACCTCATGGTTAGTAGTCAACTGCTTATTCTACAGCACCAACAGAATTATCTGCCAAAACATCTCTAAGTTTATAATCTCAACTGTTGAAAAATTTCTTCAGGGACTAAAGCCAGTTTCCAGTTTGGAAACAGAAGGCTTGGTGGACTGTATCTATCTATAGACAGTTTGTTTGAAGAACGTTAATTCCAATTTATTGTATAATTGGAATATATAATTGGTAGATTGCAACAACTGACTGTGGGCACCTCTGTCAATATTAAAGCCCCAGAGCCTCACTGCTTAGTGAGCTTTTTGGAGTAGCCATTATTTAATACTTTAGAAAGAGAACAAGAAAGAAAGGACCTTGATCAATGGTTTCCAATGGTTCACTTGGTTTGAAAATAAATCTTATGATTACAATAGACATTTTACCAGATGGCTGCCACTTGGCATTTGAATGAGAATACTGCCCTTGCTTTCCCAGAGAGTCACTCAGGAGTCCCAACCTACTTCCTGCACCATTACGTTCTTGTCTTTTTCACATTGCTTTCTTTTTTTTCTTTTCACAAAATGAAAAGTAAAAGGTGAAGGTGAGAAGTGATCAGAAAAATCACAGAGGTACTTAAGTACTGTTGATAAATGAAGCAGGGCATTTTCAAAGGTCCCCAAGAAGGGCCTGAGTTACTGTGATTTTCAAAGTACACATTCCAAAACAAGGAAAGGAACTCACCTCGCCTAGCTGATCAGACTCAGAGAAAACACCAGAAAAAAGATTCACGATGTCCACACCAATCCCCTCCAACGCCCCTCCTTTTCATTTTTATGATGGTAAAATAACACATGTAGCAAAACAGTCACCATTTTGTGCAGCAACCACCACACTGGTTTCTAAACCTTTCATCTCCCTTTTAACAAAAAGAGTACCGCTTAAGTAATACTTTCCTGCTCCCCTCTTCCACCTGCCCCAGGGAACCACTAATGAACTTGGGATGACACTGGCTTTGGGGAACAAACTGGAAAGAAACTGAAGTTAGTTAAGGTATTTTAAAAAATTATTAAAGACTTTACCCAGTCACCTTGCTCTAATATTCACTTTTTGCCCTGGCAACTGTAAACTTGGACCAAGTTATGCCTCATTTAATTAGCTAAATACGAATTAGCATTTAATTAGACAGCTTTAGGTAATGAGTATTTCATTATTGTATCCTGGTGGTAATGCTGCCAAGTCCCTGATCCCACCCGTATACAACCATATCCAGCCTAATGAACCATTTAAGGTTTACTCTCTACAATGGGCAGTCCTAGATTCTACCTAATTCATTTGTTTCCTACATAGTTTCAAGTTTACAAGAGAAGAAATGTGGTCAATCTGTTCTTGAATCTCCTGAGAATATCCCAATCATGACTAAATTTTAAATTAATATTACTTCTAAATCATTTGAGCCACTCATTAGGAATTTAGGCCTCGTGTGGCACTGTAGAATAAGCACTGAACCACTTTGTTGTTTGTTGTGAAGTGCTGTTGAGTTGGTTCCGACCCATAGCGACCTTGTATAGGGTTTCCAAGGAGACGCTGCTAAGCTTGAACCGCCAACTTTGCAGTTCAAACAGCTTTGTAGTTTGGCACATTAAGCCACAGCGCCACACCAGGACTTCCCGAGTATAGTAGGGTTTAACTACTTACAAAATGTTTGTGAAGTACCCTGGGCTATGTAAGACTTTAAAGTCCACACAGTCATTAGTTTTCAAAGTAGTATGAAAACTTGAATTCATGGATGTCAGGATCAGGGAAGGCCAACTGATATTCATCCTCCAATTCTGGTATGTAGATTCAACCAGAAACAATAATTTTTCAGTAAAGAAAAGTCTGCAGAACTTTCCAAATAGTGAGGAAAAGGCCATGGATAGTTTACTGTTCTCCTTTAGAAAAAAAATGAAGAGAAAATGAAAGTACCTTTTAAATTACACAGCAATACACATGTCTTTCTAGCTGGTAGCACTGAGCACCTACTACGAGTCAGGCGTTGTGTGAACTGTTTTCCACGCATTTGAATCTTACATGAGGCCCACATGGTACATACTATTTCTGTTTCCAAGTTAGACACCAGGAAAGTAATAGCCGTAGAAAGATAAGCAATTTGCCCAAGATCACACATGAAAGAATTGCTACCTGAATTCTGGCCAGCTAACTTCCAAGTCTACATCCAACTAGAAAATGATGCAATATATATATATATATATATGTCAATATTTCAAGTGACAATTTCAACAGGAGCTAAATATACAAAGAAAACATATCACTTTTATAAATAAAATAAAAGAGACTAAACAAAATCCACCAATTCCTTCTGAAAACTTGTTACTCTTGAAAGTAATTAAAACCAATAAACAAACCTCGGTCCTCTTTGCTATGGGTCTGACTATTCAATTGAGGAAAGTTATCTGAGGCCTTTAAAAAAGATGCTTCACTTCCTCTGTGCATTTTCTGAAAATCTCCTATGCAGAAGACGCAGCTCTAGAAACTGAGAATACAGGGGTGAGCAAGAGAGATGAGGCTCCTCCCTGGAGGACCACAGTAATCAACTGGGAAGACGGAGTCTCAGAGCAAGGGAAAGCAAGTTAAGCAAAACCGGAAACCAGCTAATTGGCTCTCGGTTTCAGCAGGATCAATCTGACTGCAGAGTGAACAGTAGCTCAGAGCAGCAGAAGGTGGAGTGAGGCTGGGAATTACAACTGTAATCCAGGTGACCGATGATGATAGAGCTGGGCTGGGGTTACAGACATGGAAAAGAAGAACAGATGTGGAACGGACCAGACGTCACAGGTGGCTGAGTGGGAAGGGGGCTCTGAAGTAATTTCAAACTGTAGAAGACTCTTATTTTCATTAAACCAGTCATCCAATAAGGATGAGAAACTCACTGCTTTGAAACTGTACCTAACACATATTCAAGGAGCCCAGATAGAATAGTGGATTGCAAGCAGGGCTGCTAACAGCAAGGTCAACAGTTCCAATGAATCTACCAGTCATTCCGTGGGAGAAAGATGAGGCTTTCTACTCCCGCAATGATTTACAGTCTCATAAACCCTATCCAGGATGTCTATGAGACTGAATCGACTGGATGGCACACAGCTCCTCCCCTCACCTCCCACCACCATCATATCTTCATTAGAACCTGGGATCCAGCCATATCTCACCTGGTTACCAATCAGCAATAGGTGCTCTCCTAGGAGAAAATCTTTCAGCATATCTTCCATCACCTTCATGTGCTAGAGAAAAAGGAACTACAAGTTAGCAGTGTTTTGTACAAATTATAAAAATGTCATCATGGAAGAAGTTATTGATAGTTAATATGGTTTTTGAAACACCAACAAAATTAACGTTATGATTATAAGGAAGTTCATATAAACAAATATAAACCACTGACACTGCAAATTTGAAAGAATCTGCCTAAGCAAGACAAATTTTAAATGAAAGATTTTATTTGACTATTAAAAAGTTAAGCAGGATAAATTTGTTGTTGTTGTTAAGTCCCGTCGAGTCAGTTCCAACCCATAGCAATCTTATATAGTGTTTCTGATGAGCAGCTGGTGAGCTTGAGCCACTGACCTTGTGGTTTAAACTGACCTTTCAGTCCAGTGCATTAACCCACAGTGCCAAACAGGATAAATAGCACAGAAATAATTTTCGTTTGCTTGTATCCAAGTAATCTTGACAATTGTTGTGTCAAGCACTTAATCTTGACAATTAATAATAATTAAAAAAGTGATTTTGAAGTTTATTCTTTTTTGTGGGTGTTTAGAATTTTTCCCAGTAAATCCAAGTTTGAAAAACGTATTTAAAATCATTAACAGTATAAAAGAAAATAGTGCTCCCATTACAGAAATCTTCTTTACCCACAGGATAAACACAAGTTTTGTTCACTTTGAATAGAAGCTGGGATCCAAGTATCTAGGGTTAAGATCATTCATCAGTTGCCAAACCGCATTTAGACCTGTTCTTCAATTATATTGTTATTGCGTCCTGTAGTGTCAGTTCTGACTCACAGCAACTGTGTATAAGGGTTTGGAGGCTGTAAATCTTTATGGCAGCAGGAAGCCTCATTTAAACACGTAACAGCCCAACCCATAACCAACTATGCAGTCAGACCTCCATAGGAGTCAAAGAGAGTTTTCTTTTTCCCTTAAAGCATGATTAAAATGAGTACATAGCATTAAAAAAAAAATTTTTTTTACAAGATTGACTTAACCAAACTCATATGTTGCAGTTGTTAAGTGCTGTCAAGACAACATATGCAAAACTTGACTAAGTATTATCTCCTCAATTTCATGTTTTATTCTGTACCTCTTATCCCAATGAATGGCATCATTTTTCTACCACCTGTCCAAACTTCTGGTGGACTACTAGCCTTAAGGTCAGCACTTCGAACCCACCAACCACTCCGAGGGAGAAAGATGAGGCAATCTACACCTATAAGGAATTACAGTCTCCTAAACCCTCTATAGGGTCACTATGAGTCAGAATCAAATAGATGGCCGTGGGACTGGTTTTTTGTTGTTTTTTGCCAGAATCCCTGTTGGCCTTCTCCTCCTGCTCACATCACTCCACCCTTAGTAAGATTCAGTTAAACACTATGTCTTCGCCAAAATGTCTAGTGCATCTATCCTTGTATTTCTATCCCCATAGCTTTCAGTTTTTTACCATCTCCAACCTCCATTTTTGTATTTGGCTTCTGAAACTTCAGTCTCTTCATGAGCCCACACACTCTCTACATTAGGATTCTCTGTGTCCTTGAGGACAAATATCACACGTTACCCTACTCGCTCTATTGTCAACCTCACCTCCTACTGTCCTTCTCCTTCTCTGTGTTCCATTGTGTCTGGGGTACAATATACAATGATCATCTGTTCTTGCTGGGGTTTCCCACCAGACTATGTGCTTCTGGAAGGAGAGTTACTCTCTTCCATCTTGTACAAAGTTACACTGACTATACACATCATAAGTCATTCTGCAATGTCTGCTCTCACAGCCCACTGACCCTGCCTGTATAACTTCATCTGGACAACTGCAGCATGTCCTAACTAGCCTGTTTGTCTTCCACCTCAGGGACACTGTTCAAGAGGAGACACAAAATGAGTGAACTCTGAAGTTTGCTTCCTATCTTTCAATGGTGTCCTCACTTTTCCAGAACAAAGTCAAATTCCTCATTTAGCAAGACCCAAATGATATGGCCCTTTCCTAACTTGCCATTTGTCCTGTCAACACTCTCCTCTTTGTAGCCTCAGTTCTGTGCCAGAGAAAATTCATTATATACTAGCTTTAAAAAAAAAAAAAAAGTTGCTGTTAAGTTGCCTCTAACTCATGGTGACCTCATGTATGTCAGAGTAGAACTGATTTTCTCTGGTTAATTGTTCAGAAGTAGATCACCAGGCCTTTCTTCTGAGGAGCCTATGGGTGGACTTGAACCGCCAACATTTTAGTTAGTAGCTGTGTGCATTAACCATTTGCACTATCCAGGGGCTATGGTTCAAACCTACCAGGTACTCCCAGGAAGAAAGATGAGGAGACAATCTGCTTCTGCTAAAACTTACGGCCTTGGAAGCCCTATGGCGTAGTTCTACACTATCCTATCGGGTCAATATAGAATTGGAATCCACTTATGGTAGCAGCTTTGGTTTAGATTGAAAAGAAGCCCTGATGGCATAATGATTAAGTGCTCGGCTGCTAACAGAAACGTTGATGGTTCAAACCTACCAACCATCCCATGGGAGAAAACTCTTGAAGATCTGACCCTGTACAGATTTATAGCCTAGGAAACCCTACGGTTCCACTCTGTCCTATATGGCCACTCTGAGTCAGAATTGAATTGATGGCATGCAAAAATAATACCATATAATACAGAGTAGACACTGGAGAGGGAGAGAAAGGAATAGACAGAAACACCACACTAGAAAGCTTGTAAGTCCGTCTTCTGCCTATGACTGATTGGAATACCTAAAATGGGGCTACAACGTACCCAGTGAATGAGGCTTCCTGCAGAGCCTCTGCAAT